GGCTCAAAAAGAGATCTGATTCTTTGTTTTGAGTTTCTATTATATCAGCTCATTGATGTACAGTAATCGCATGCTGCTCCAGTATCTATGTGTAAAGAGAAAAACTAGGATTACTTAGTAAACTCATGGACACAGGCATTATTCATACCTGTGGGAATAATTTTTCTTGTTTCTGGTTCCTGGAGACTCAAGCTGATGGAGTTCTTCATATTTTTACTTTTTGGAAATGTATAAAAAATGATAGTACAAACAATTCAAGGCTCAGAGAAGGAAACCCCCCCCGAAAATATAGCATGTCAAAAATAAAAATCAGCTATGTAGTATTATTTTTTAAATAAATCAATAAAGGAACATCCAGTGATTTTTAGACATATAAAAGATAGAAAGTAATCTAACTTGAACTAAGTGTGGTGACTCACACCTGTAATCTCAGCACTTTGGAGGACTGAGGCAGGAGGATTGCCTGAGCCCAGGAGTTTGAGGCCTGCCTAAGCAACATAGTGAGACCTCATCTCTAACAAACAGAAAGAAAGAAAAGAAAAGAAAAGAAAAGAAAGAAAAAGTAATGTAACTTGAATTGAACAGGTACTTTGCTGTATGCTTTGTATTTTATTTTATTCCACTGATTATGTTATTTAATTGCATTATATTAACATATTACATTAATGGTATTGTTTTGATTTTCCTTTTACCCTGTGTGGTAAAAATTATGACTCCCACTTTATATAGGAGGAAATTGGGGCCCAGAGATTTTGAGTGGGTGTCAAGATTGCCTATCAGGTAAGGGGTGCAGCCAGGATCGGCTCTAACCCAGGTATCTACAAATCACAAGATTTCCCTTGCACGCTACATTCTTCCACTACCACCTGGCCGTGCAGAGTAAACATCCAAGGTGCTTGGATGCAGCCTGGATTTTTTACCTATCTTATTCTGCTATTTTTCCTTTCCAACAAGATGACCTTGAATTCCTTTCCAGCTGTATGTTTCTAGAGTGCTTGAATGAATAGATTCCAAGGAGAGTGAAGCTGACCCTAGTGATACGGAGGGATGGTAGGCCAGAATAGAGACGCATAGGATGAAATGGAGCAGCGCGTCATGCACTATAGTAGCAAGCATAAATATCCTCTTAGAAATGGAGTGAATCACACCTCGCCCTTTGAGCTACAAGTAGTTTGGTCCTTCATTTGAGGATAAACTCACTTATTCTTCCTCTAGCTGGGTGGAAAGAAACATTTTATTCTGAAAGATTCAAGTATAAAAATATCACATGGTTTCTCTCTATAATATAGATACATACACATATGCAGATTTTCTATTGTGGAGATTTTTTTTTAATGGTCATTGAATGGACTCTATGGTTCCATTCAATAAAGTCAAAGCTTTGAGCTGGCTATGACTCACTAAAGAAGGTAAATTTTTAATAGCCAGTTGATACTGTCGGATGACTTTTAATATGCACATTTTTCTTAGTTCTTTGGGCTTTTCTTGTGCCTGTCTTTGTTTCTCTGAGTACAGTGGACCACAGTGGCGTAAATCTGAGGCATGTAGTCACAAGACCTTTGTGTGACATCCAGATCTTCCATTTGGCTCTGCCTCTTTGCCAGCTGCATGACCTTGGGCAGATCACTGAACCTCTCTGAGCCAAAGCTTATTTGCCCATAAAATGGTAACAGATGATGTAATGATTGAAATGAGATACATGAGAGTACTTGTTAAGCTATAAGCACCGTACAAGCATTAAAAGTTATTCATATTCTGGTCAGAAGGAATTTTAAAAAAACTCAGATTTTCACCAGGATGATTGTATGTATGGTTAATATTTCACTGATTGAACCACTTTCAAATTTGCTTCATCGGAAAAACATTCTAGTCCAAACACCTCCTCTGTGTAAGCGAAACATGACAAAGCTGCGTCTCGGTCCCATTGCCCTCATTCAGTGACTTCTTAGCTCTTATCTAACCTGTCTCTCTTGTTCTGTGGATGTCTGTACACATTATGCCATATAATTAATTTTAGTTGATAGGCAATCAGCCTGCCAGGCTGCTATAGTGACTGTGATACTTTGCTGTTTCTCTTATAGTATTGCTCACCTTTCTGCACAGGCTTGCTTCATAGTACCAGGGTTGACTTTACCCTAGAGTGTGACCAGTAGGTGTTATAAACCGAAGGGTCTACACTGGCATCTCCTTTGCCATGTGGTGGCAGAGCGAATGGGTGAAAGGGCTGGTAAAAAGTGGCTCAGGCATTGGGGTACTTGTTGAATGGCTGCTGATTTGACGAGTCCCTCAGTGGAGTGCTTCCATGAGGGGCAGGTTGTCAGTGAAGGTGAGTATGTGAATGCCCTGGAATAACATTGAAGAGGGAAAGAGGCAAGTGTATGCCACCTTGCATCAGCAGGGCATCAGGAGCAAGCTGGCAGCTTTCTGTGCACAACCGCCCCGACATGCACTCATCTCTTGAGCAAGACATCTGGCTCCTCCACCCACTCCCCCTCCTTTCTCCTTCCTATATGATTGCATCCAGGCCATGGTAGACATTCTCCTGGGCCACACCTGGGCATCAGTCACTACTGGCAGAATGAGTGTTTTGACCCTGTTAACCCCTGTTGAGGTGACAGGAGAGAGAATAGACATGATCAGGGACAGAAGAGACAGACAGGAAGAGACAGGCATTACAGGAGGTGGAGGCTAGGAGGTTGGAACTGTAATCGGAAGAGGCTATTGAAGTAATGTGATGAAACAATGCGTGGATAATTCAATTATTTTTAAAATGCAGGTTATTCAACTGAGGAATGGAGAGAGAACTAGGAAGCTTAGAAAGACTGTACTGAGAGACTGGGGCGCTCCACCTATGGATGTTTGTTTTTTCATGATCAGATGGACTTAGACTAGGAGTTTTTCCTCAGAGAACGAACATTCAAGGGACTCACAGAGGCTTGAAGGGTGGAAAATGGACCACACAGGTGCTCTGGACCACGTCTGACTATGCTCCAGGCTTTGTCTTGAGGAGAATTTTAAGCAGTGAGTCTGTTAAACATTTCTTGTTTTCCTCACTCCTTTTTCCCATTTGCCATTTACCTCTTATTCTTTCCTATTCTCACCCCTCTTAAATGTAGGCTTTTGCTCATTTAATTGTGGTAAAAATGAATGGTTTCACATTTCCTCTTGTAGCTCTCCTAAGTCATTAAATCCCTTGGCAATTTGTAGGGATGCAGCTAGAGAAAAAGTAGAATTGCAATCAAGGAAAGCATGATATGATATTTTCTATTAAACAAATATTTATTTGCATTTAATAGAAAGGCAGTGTGCCCATGGCAGCTCCCAGAGATGCGAAGGGGGAATGCAGGGTGCTAGGAGCCTCTAGCTGTTCACAGATTTCCATCAGTTATACCCCTCTTCCTCTCCTCCACCCCCCAACAGGAGCCATCACAAATAAATATACATGCTGAATGCAGACGTTGCGTTTGCTCCGCAGTGCAGCCTCAGCACAACTGCAGAAGCCCTGCTTTCCAAACAGATCGCCAACCTGCTTTCCAAACAGATCACCAACCTCAAACCCTCTATGTGGAAATGATGGACCACCACTGGGGGGGGAGGGGCATGGTTAAGGGCAGTGAATTTGAGAATCGAAATTAGTTTTTCTGGCTCTTACCTGTTTGGATTTAGGCAATGACTTATCCTTTTAGAACTGCAGGCTCCTCCTCATTGTTAAATCAGAGAAATAATACCAACCTTGTGAGATTAGTGGAGAAGGAAATGCCTTACCTCGCTAAGTATAGCGCTAGGCTGGGAAGGAAGCCCTTTCATGGTGAGCCTGTGGAAGTGCAAAGCACTATGTCTTGTCCCTCCACAGATATTCCATGTGGTCCTCCCAACAATCCTGTGAGGTGGGGATTATCGTACAAATGAGAAATCCAGGACTCGGGGGGATTATGGTTTGATCCAGGCCACACATGTGTGAAGTGGTGGAGGAGAATGTGTCTCAGAGAAAGATTTGCTCGGGTTGAAGGAGACAGGGCTGAAAGAGAGTGTTCATGGCGGGAGATGCTTGCTTTCCTTTAGCCTGGGATCTGGTGAAGTCTCCCAGGGGCCTTGAGGCCTCTGCCTGGAAGCAGGGCCATATGAGATGATATAAGATGAGCCTATTCTGGGCTGTGGGATGTTTATGGAATGGAAACTTTCAGAGATACCACAGCAAAGAAAGTGGAAATTTCAGTTTCGTGTGCTAAGAATAAATCTATAGAGAAATGATTTGATATAAGCTGATGAACAGAAAAAAAGAGAGAGAGAGAGAGAGAGAGAGAGTGTGTGTGCGCGCCTGGGGACAGCAGTGTACCCATCTGCTTCTATTATTATTGTTGTTGTTAAGCTAAGAAGAGGATGCTTTCTTCATCCTCCATTCTCCTTTTAGGAGCTCTTCAGGTTGCCTAGACACCTGTGACACACACCACTTCCCACTGTGGCATCTGAATACGCCACAAGGCGCAGAGCTATTCGCTTCTTCTCAGTTTCTGGCTTGATCCTTACCTGGAGCTGCTCCACCACTAGAAGCTGTCAGGAGATCTTGTGGCCCTAACGCAGGAGAATGAGGGAAAGACAGAGTAGGCAAATAGGCCAGAAGGACAAGGAGAGAGGTTTCCAGAAGGAAGAGGAGATAAAGAAATGTGGAGGACAATATTTTTCTCAGAACGAGTTGCAAGGTAAAATGAATGCTGAACATTAAGTGCATAATTTGAGTAATTAACGTTCCAGATGGGAGAACAGTTTTATATTCTTATTCATATTTTCTAAAGGTTCAGAGCCACTCAGTAAACTGTTTCCTGAATTGCTGTCATCACTGGCTTGATCCCAAAGGACCACACATGGCACAACTTCATTTGAGTTTCCAGGTGTCTTTTACATTTTTTAAATAAATGAAATGTTTTGTCTCTTAGGCCAGAATTCCCAACCAGTGTGCCATGAATGGGTTACAGATATGATTAAATTATTGTTCTGCTCAGCCCTTTGGCACAGACCACAATCCCTCCAGGGCTCCTGGGAAAAGGTCTGAACACCCAGCGTGGGTTTGCTGCTGGCCTGACAGCCCTGAGAAAGGTTCTGGTGAAAAAGGTTGAAGAGTACTGGGTTAGCATCTGTGTGTCTTTGGGAGAATCTTTCTTCAGACACAGGTTAACTACATACAAATGCAGTTCCCAGCCAATCCATATCAGAGAAAAAAGATCCAGTTCAGAACTTGCAGCTTCACTGTGTGAAATTTCTCTTGAAGAATGGCCGGGCCTTGGGCAACATCTCCCTTGGGCTCACAGCAGGCTTCAGGGCTCCTCTTTCTCCCTCAACCCCCTTTACACTCTTTTCTTTATTCTTCTTCATAGTTGAACTATTTAACATGATGTTTAAAGGCATGCCTGACTGCCTTGTGGAGATTCAGAGTTGCCATGGCAATGTGGCCTGTTTCTCCAAATTAGGACATATTCCCTGCCCTTTTTTTTTTTTAATGTGCTATGTTTTCTCTCCCATACCATTTCTTTGCTTCTTTACATCCTTCCCTGCCTTTCTCCCCCAGAATGCTAATTTAAGTACCTGTGCCCCGAACGGGAGAGGTCTGCAGGCTAGGGAGCCCCTTCCTGATGTTCTCCCCAACCTCACCCTCCATCACACCGTAGAGGGGTCTGTGTCCCAGGGGCTGCCATTTCAGTAGCCTCCAAAGAGTTCTTTCTGCTAGGTTTGCTCCTGAAGTCCTTTTTTTTTCCTCCTGGATTGGGCTGATAGCAACTGAATTTCGGTTTTACATGAAAACCTTTTGTGAATGGAAATAGGTAAGGAAAAGATAGCTGTGGCTTGGATTTTAAAGATTACGTACCAGAAACTTTTCCCCAGGAACCTGTCCCTTTAGGGGGCACTCACATGGTAATCGAGGGTGTGTGCACTTCAGCTTTTTCTGTGCAACTCATTTTAGGATCCCAGGAAAATGTAAACTTCAGATCAGTAAAGTTGTGTGACCTAAGGGTAAGGACAGAAGCTGGTTAAGGTATTTTAAAAAAAGAAAAGAAACGCTGTGGGATGAAGGTGTTTCTTTCCTTCAGGATTATTTCTGCTCCATAGACTGTAGATAACTCTTCGAGCCTCTTGAATTACTGGCTGTGATAAAAATGGGGAAAGAAAGAGAATGAGAAAAGCAAGGCAGATTTAACTCTCCTTTCGCTCATTTTCATGGCTGGTGCTCGGTCCTTGGCACCCGGAAGCCGATTAGAAGAGGTTCCTTGGGCCCATGCTTAGAGCAGAGACACACAAACTTGAGTGCACTTTGAAATTACCTGGGGAGTTTTAAAAAATATATAGATGTCTGACCTTCCCACAAAGAGTCTGATGTCATTGTGTGGGGTGCAACTTGGGCACCGTCATTTTTTTTTTAATGCTCTTCAGTTTATTCTAATGTACAGCAGAAGTTGAGATTTCCTGGCTTAGACAGCAACTGTTTTGGGAAGGTTGAAATAATGGCTTCCATATGTTTCGCCGTAAGTGGTCATCTCTGAAATCCTTGGAAAAAAGGCACATACTTCTCAGATTTTGTTAATTCAAACCTTCTCTTCCCTGCTTATCACTTTTAGAAAATGCGAGCTCCCTGCCTGTTCCTCATGAAACATGACTGTTTTTTGACCTGTGAAAGGGGTGAAGGGAGAACACCAACACAATTAGCCAGGTAAACAAGACGGAAGCTGACCCAGGGCCAAGCCTCACCGCAGGCCGGCGATGACAAGGTTGGAACCCAGGCAGTGTCAGGGCTGCCAGTGCGAGGGCCAGGAGTGGGAAATCATGCTGTAGCAGTTACAGTTAGGTCGGAATATGACACTCGGTCGTGTGACTGAAAGAAACGTGACAGAGCACTTTGATTTGCTTCTGGAGCTTGACTGAGAGTGGCTGATGGAGCTTCCCATGGAGGGCCTCTTCTAGTGCCAGAAGTTAGCAAATTGACAACTGTGTTTTCACCTTGTTCCTTTTCCTTGCATTTGCCTGTAGGCAGGGTGTATTAAGTATATATACGCAAGAGGTAGCAAGCTTTCAAATTACAGATTTTTGACCATTCAGAAAACATCACTAGAATGATCAACTATTTTTTTTTTTTCCTATGATTTCCATCAGGGAGGAATCCTGGGTGGTAGGAAAGATTTTTGATTCCTGTGCAACCTGTGGCACAATGCAGAAGTTCCTTATCCTCTTGAACCTCATTTCTACATCTGTAAAATGGGGTGGAAATGGGCAGGGGATGGGGATTGCCAAGGCCTCTTAGTTTGTAAGGATTTTGTTTGTTTCTTTCAGTCTCATGTCCGCACCAGCTACTTATTAACGGTTACCTATCAGGTGACGATATGATGGCAGCCTTGTCTTAGACCAGGTTGGGAATTAAGCCAGATTATAGGAAATCCAGAGTGGAGTATCCTGGATTCATTCAGGGAAATCAATCATTACACACATGATTTGTAGCAGAATGCATTCTCAGCTTTGAAAACCAAACTTGAAACTCAGGGAAAAGCTAAGGAGTAGTCAGAAGAAGAAAAAGGCCAAGATTCTGTTGAGATGGAGAAGAAGTTTCAAAGCCCACTGTGCCTGTCCTAAGGCATGCTCTAGGGCATTTATCTTCTCCTGAGGACCAGGCCTGGACCACGGACCCTAGCACTTCTCCTACTTGAGTACTTATAGCTCTCTGGGTAGACAGATTGAAATTGTCAGATTTCTTAATAGTCAGGCATCTTCCAAAACCAAGAGTTAATTCAGCTCTACATCCTCTTCAGTTCAAGGGACCATCACACCATAAGCCAAGCACGGTACTAGGTACTGATCTCAAGAAGCTTACAATCCCAGTAATAACTACAACTCTAGCAACAGCCATTTGTATACCATACAGTATACAAAGCTATTTTTACATTATCCTCTTTGTTCCCCATACTATTTATGCATGATATATTTTATCCATCAGAGTGACAATTTAAAAAAAATTAAAATGCTCAGTGTTGGTGAGAGTATGGGGAAATAGACACTTTCATAAATTCATGATAAAAATACAAATTGGAATGACCTTTGTGGAAGACAGTTTGGCGATAGAAGCCTCAAAAATATGTATGCCCATTACAGCTATTCAACTTATAAAAATTGATCCTATGACAATGCAAAAATATTTATTTGAAAAATGGTCATCATAGTATTATGTATCATTGTGAGCAATTTGAAACATTTTACATGTTCAGTGATGAAGGGCTAGTTAAAATAAACTATGGTGTGGATGATAAGCAACCATTAAAAATCACATTATGTAAGAAAATATTTAATGAAAGGGGAAAATGTCATTTCTATAAATACAGGAAAAAAGCAGGTTGGAATAATAGTCATCAAATATTTATTGAGTGCTTACTGTGTTTGGGACACTGTACGAGACACTGAGAATAGAGTGAATAATCAGACTCACAGACCCCATTTTCTAGAAGGTTATATCTTGTGGGGATGGGAAGTCTATACTCTGGGAACTTTAATCTGGTAGTGGTGTGAGGTGGGGAGTGTACACTCTGGAAAGCTATGCTCAGTGTGGTGTTTGTATTTCAGAGGATGGGAGTAAGATTAGGAGGAGTACATGTTTGTAAATATAAATATGCTATAAAGATAGGAGAATTTAAAACAGATTGACATATAGACAATAAAATCACGTTATTTCTGAATGAAAGTAGCACAGATGATTTAAATGTTCTGTATTTTTTTAATTTTTTAAATTTAAAAAATTTTTAGTTTTTAAATTTTTTTGTGGAGCTGGGGATCTCACTATGTTATTCGGGCTGAACTTGAATTCTTGGCCTTGAACAATCTTGCTAGAATTATAAGCATGAGCCACCACTGTGGCTTCGTATGTTTCCTGTAATTCTTACATTTTCCATAATTAGTATGCTTTATAAAATATGCTCTTATAATAAGAATACATATGTATAAAAAGAAACATAGTTCTGTTTTTTGAGTTGGAGTCTCACTCTGTCACCCAGACTGGAGTGCAGTGGCCACTCCCGGCCACCGCAGCCTCGCCTGCTGGGCTCCGGCGATCCTTCCGCCTCAGCCTTCCGAGTAGCCAGAATTACAGGCGCGCACTACCACGCCCGGCTGATTTTTTGATTTATTGTAGAGATGAGGTCTCGCTGCCCAGGCGGGTCTCGAACCTGCGGGCTCAGGCAATCCACTCACCTCAGCCTCCCAAAGGCGCGGGATTACAGGCTGAGCCACCGAGCCCGGCTAGAAACATAGTTCTTAAGAAAGTTGCTAAATTTTCGTGGATCCCATTTTCATTTGTGAACACCACCTTTCTTAAAATTTAATCCTCTATTTCTCCTGGCTTGCGCCAATAAATAAAAATAAAGTAACAAAAACATACTCCCTCTCCCCCACTGCCTTCTACCACCATGGTGGAAAAAAGCCTCTGCATATAGAAGAATGTATTTTGAAACAGAAACACGAAAGCTTCTCTTGTAAAGGCACAATCTGAAAACTGCACAGTCTGAAAATCTTTTTAACCCTGAAAAGGTTAAAGAACACTAATAAAAAGCACGGTAATGCTTACTGTATGTTTGAAGGGGATCTGCCGATTGTTTCTCTTAAGCCCAGTCAGATTGGTTTTTGCTTCTGGATGTCAGCATACAGTGTTTATAAGAGACTAAAAACATTTCACCAAGGAGGCAACCTGGCCTTGCCTGCTGCAGCAGACAAGGGACCTATGACATTAATCCAGAGGGAATTGTGGGTGGCAGTCACTGGTTCTCTCACATGAGCCTCTTTTTTGCTTTCTCCTATCCTTCCCTGTTCTTAGTGTATTTTCTTTTCTTACTCAATTTCAATCCCTTTCAATCCATCGCATTTATGGAACGTTGCTATGCATTGACATTATGTTGGTCCCACTCTCCATAGCCTTCGGTTTTAGTAACCTCTTCGGTGCTGATATGCCTCTTGGGCCTGAGCTAGCATTGCCAGTGGTCAGAAAGGGTGTTGTTGGCTCCTGACCTAGAAGAGAGGATCACCGGCAACTAGTAAACATTGAGAATTCTGCCGACTTTGTCATTGTCATTTGGGTCAACTTAGAATTCCCTTGTACTGGG